TTCCCTGTCCCCCATACCCCGTTCCCCAATTCCCCGTTCCCCCATTCCTGTTCCCCTGTTCCCTCATTCCCTGTTCCCCCATTCCCCATTCCCTGTTCCCCCTTCCCCCATTCCCCATTCCCCCATTCCCGCATTCCCCCATTCCCGCATTCCCCCATTCCCCCATTCCCGCATACCCCCATTCCCGTTCCCTATTTTAAAGATAGCCAAAACAGGCATATTACTGCTTTAGAAATGAAATTATTTAACCCAAATAATTAGGCAAAGCACATATAGGGGTAACGTTTGACACTATACCTTAACAATGTCTTATCATGTAAACAACGTATTAATTAATTTAAAGGAGCATTTTCTCACCTTAGAAATATATTGCTAAGATTAGAAAGAACATCAGTGGCCGGTCACATCGCTGAAGTTCTTATTCAATAGCTCTTTCGTCAGCCCAAAGCTTGACTTTTGTAACTCGTAGTTCTACGGACTCCCCAAATATGAAATTAATAAGCTGCAAAATGTTCAGAATGCAGCAGCTCGAGTTATAGTTTGTCTCCGTAAATACGATCATATTACTCCAACTCTTAGGATGCTTCACTGGTTTGGCGTACAGCAAAGAATCATTTTTAAGAGCAATTTGACGTGCTTTAAAATAATGAACAACATAGCTCCGACATGTATGCAACAACTTTTATATCACCATCAGCCGGCAAGGTGTCGTCGATCGTCCTCAGACAAATGGCGTTTTGCAGAACTTCATTATAATTTAAAGGCATATGGGTGTAGGGCCTTAAACAATTTACAGCCAGGAATAATGGAATATTATTATAAACTAAGTCTCTATGGACAAAAAGTCTAATAGCATAATTTACACGTACATCAGTGTCAAGGTCCAGACCATAGACTATCCAAAAGACATTGTTTCTGGATTGTCTGTGTCCAGACACACCGGGCGCGATTCGACAATAATCGACATTAATATTCGCGACGCGACGCGATTTTTTAGTTTTTGAAAGTTAACTAAACCGGAGCCAATGAGAGCAAATTTTTAAAAAGATATGTAGACCAAATAACTCAAAATGTTATAACGCTTCTAAATATTTGGAAAGTTTAAACTACGATAAAAGTTATTGGTCACGGTGACTGCGACAAAGAGTATTTGGGTCAGTCTAAACGCCAGTTTGGTACACGGCTAAAAGAACATCAAAAGGCTGTTTCAACTTTAGACAAGGGAAAATCAGCTTTAGCCGAACACGTATGTTACACCAAACACGAGATTGTGTGGGAAAACTCTAAAGTAATTACCACAAACAATCGCTATGGTCAAAGACTTTGCCTAGAAGCGTGGCATATAAATATGAGTCATCATGCTTTGAATAGGGATGACGGCGCCTATTTGCCAGAGGAATATATGCACCTTCTTGGCAGGTGACGTCATCCCTTGGGTATTTAAGAAGCCACGATCGCAGTTTTAGATCACCCTTGATGAATACACTAGACTGGGGTGTCGAAACGTTGGGTCTTGATTACAATTCGACTGGGCTTTGTAATCATTTATTTAAACCAGAGTAGCGAGCAAAACATGATTGATATACCTGGTTGCAGTGAACGAGCAACGGGTGTTGTTTAACTCTTGTGAAAAATTCAAACATTTACATTCTCTTTCACATCAGTAAGATACATGAAAATGAGGCTCACAAGTGACGTTATATGGCACTCATGAAACACCAGGCGTTTTGCACAATAAAATCATCTGAAATAGTTTCTCATTACATTGACATTATGTACGTAATTATCAATCGGAACAAAACAAATTCATCGGCGCTTGTATAATTGTGATTTGTGTAAAGAGCGAACGTTGTTTCAAAATTCATGAGGTTGTAACTGAAAAGGTATCAAGTGCATTATAAAACCTGGAGTTTTTAAATGTAAAAACAGGATTTTTAAGAGAGACAGTTGTCGAGCTCTAAAATTTGCAGCAGAAAAAATTGAGTGGAAATTAAAAAAAAAAGAATATTATTAAAAAAAAAGATTATGAATTACGAAGTTCAGATTAGTGTCAGATTAAGATTATATTAGGGTTAGTGGTTAGAGTTGGGGTTAGAATTTGGGCTAGATTAGGTTCAGGACTTTAGGTTCATCTATCCCAATAAGTTATTGTGCGAATTTCAGTATTGTAGTGTTACATTCCCGTCGCTAATTGATAGTTTTCCCCCCAAACTGAATTGTTGGAAAACTGGTGGGGCGTAAATGTTTCGTACATGCCACTTTTTATAAACTTTCCCATTTATGTATCGTACTTCGTCCTTTTCCGTCATTTTCGTAAATTCAGAAAATTTTTTGCTAAAGGTATTACTTTTTATTCCGAGCCACTCAAATATGTTCACTGACTACGAAACAATATGCGGAGTCAAACAGACATTTGTCGAGTCCGTGGTCATTGGAAGGGTGTTACTCCCTCCCAAATCCCCTCTAGGAGAAAAAAAAATTGTGGTCGACCTGAAACAGAGACTTCCTGGGAAGAGGAAGTGACAGTCGCCTTCAGTCGCATAGGACCCCAACCTCGTACCCAGGCTCTTTCCACTACGGATGGATCAACCTAGACTAAGCAAGATGTTCAGTTGTGCGACATTTCATACCATGCGCTAACCTTTGCCCAAGTGCTCTGTCTGAATTCCTCAGATTCTGAGGAAACATTCCTTTAGTAAACTGATTTCCTTGAATTTGAGTTGGACTGTGGATCATTAGCATAGCTTTTGGAGTCATAGCACGACAACAAAAAAGAATATGTTTTCTTACATCGATGTTTATTTGAATATGAACCAAAGATCAGCTACTAGAAAATTTTTCATGTCTGGAATGCCTTAGCCGGAAAACAGACCTACGTTTCGTCCGCCCTAAAATTCGCGGGCTTGACCTACATTTCTCGCATGTTACATTAGGTGTTCTTGGATTAATAACACATAAATCTACTTAATTTTTCAGCGTCTTTTCAGTATTTTCAAATTTTCTTTCCTTAATTAGAAATTCGAGTTACTAAACAAATCATTGAAGCTGTCGAAATTTCTAGTTTGCACATACGCTGTGCAAATTTAACAAATGTTGAACTCGCTCCAGAAATATATGGAGATCATTGGATATCGGTAACTCGATTCCGCATGCATGTTAACCTGAAGTTCAGGCCCTATCACAGAATAGGGCCTGACACAAAAGCTATCTAAACTGTGGGATTCCCGTCCATCTGGTGGACGGAACATCTGCATGATTGGTTGATCAGCATCATGAAGGATTTTGATTGGTTGCAAGTTCACATAAACAACAGTTTTAAAAATAGCTCGGTCAAGGGCGATAATTATTATAAAGGTCAAACGCACGTAACAAATTTCATTATCGATTTCTTCGAATTTCTTTTCTTTTATGCTTTATGGCAGAAAATAAATCAAACAAACAGTATTTTGAAAGGGCTTCATCAAAATCTTTGACGAATTTTGGACACACGACGCTGAAAGGACAGCCAAACTAGTCATGACCAGTCATGTATTCGAAAGCTTTTTGTTGACAGCCAACATGTTCTGCCAACTGGCTTCGCCGGCAAAAGTCTTATTTCTAATATCAGGTCCTACCGGCGTTGTTTTCTGAGCTACATAGCCGTCTTCGTGGTACGATTGAGAATTCCATTGTTGCTGTTGTTAGAGTATATCCGCGTCCAGCAAGTTGAGACCTTGAGAAAGCTTGTCAGTCAAGCCGTGCACAGAACTGACTAATTAACAGGGACGTAGCCAGACCTGGAAAAGGAGGGGAGCCGTGAGGCCAGGCTAAAGGTATAGTAGTGGCTATATGTATATGTTTGCTGCAAAAGAACTATATACAGAGTTGGTGGCAATGTCGTATAGCAAAAGGGAGGGGGAAATTATCGGTTAGAAAAAGCTTGGGCACAAGACGAGGACCAACTACAAATTTCCGAATTGTAGCTATCAAAAGTACGAATTGCATTCCGTACTTCATTTAGCTTTTCGAGGGTTAGTTGTTGTTTGCCTATCCACAAGCGTATACTTTAGGCGTATTATAAAAAAAACTGAACGCAATTGTGGAAGACTTAATGTAATGTAGACGGTAAATTTCAAATGTAATATAATATGAGTTATTTGCTATTAACCACTGAGGTCCGAGTTAAGTCGATTAAATGATAACAACAAACGTCCATTTTTCATACTGGCAAAAATTTCGATAACTCGGTCTTCATCAGTTGGTTCGGTATCGTAGATATACGTCATCTCCAAGGCATTCAAACGATCTTGAGTTGTTCGATGACGCAAATATGTCTTGAGAAGAAAAACTGCGCTCAACGGTTGCTGCTGATATGGGCAAGATGCTGGCAATAGTTAAAATTTTGTTAAAAGGGCGTAAGTGCTTGGAAAAACATTGGGATCGCAAAATGATAACATTGCTATGTGTTCAGTTGGTGAATCAGTTGAACTGGAAAACCGTATCTTCCATTTAGCAACCCACAATCGGTACTGCGCTAAGGCATTCATGCCACTAGTATCACGAGGCATAACATTGTTAGCATGAAGAGATTGAGAATAGTTTCTATAAAGCTGCATGAACTCTTCTTCCACTGCACCATTCTTTGGACAGTAAGCTGGAAGCAGCGAATCAACAACCCAGCAAACGTCGTTTTTTCATTAAATTGAAATTGCAATTGCTCAGGAATTGTATCCAGAAATGGGATATACATTGCTACGCGGAAATAGTAGAATCATCAACATCTGAAACATCTGGGTTATCTCGATACACTGATCTTTGATAAACTCTAGAACACTCTATTTTGATTTTGAGGCATGTTACAGCCCAAGAATCCACTTCGTTATCTTGGCAAAACGACGTTCTGAGTTTTGACGATCTTCATCGAGGATATAGTTATGATGGCTTGGATCTCCGTCATTGCTTCCTTTACAGAGGTGTTTTTCTCCTGTAGACGCTTGGATAATATACCTATACTAGAAATACCTGCATGCAGTAACCCCTCGCCAATATTTCCATACATCAAACATCAAGTATTCAGAAATGACCAGCACTGAACGCAGGCTCGCGCTCAAGTGTTGCCATGACACGATATTCTTAAATTTTTATTTTCATATATTTTGTACAAAACTGCAAAATAGTTGACAGATTCGTACTTTTAACATACAACAATAAATTTCCGAAATACATACTGTAGGTATATTATTTTGCATTTTGTGAGCTTTGATTTATTAATGTAAAATTTAACTTGATATGCTTCGTAGAATGTTTTGAAATGTTCATTCAAGTAAACCTACATTTTGCCGATAAACTGTTTTTACTTAACAAAGCATGGTAAGTTTAATACAAATAAAATAAAATTGTTAGGTAATTTCAGTTCAGTTTTCAAATCAATTTGTTCGTCTTCACATTTCAAGATTTATTCTCAAATTAAACGGTAATTTATGAAACTTAGAGCTTCTATAGTTCATGTTTTTTATTTAATACGTAAAAAGTTAAAGCAACAAAATTCGTAAACATTTAAAAAATATTCAAAGCAAACTTGCCGTATATTTCCCGATTTCCCGTAGTAAACCAATTCTTCTCATTTCTTCAAACAAAATTGCTTCAAGCTTCTTGTATATGAAACGTTTTTGCAAATATATGTCTTTTAAAATTGAAATCTTGCTTGCCATATTTTTGAAATAAGTGAGAATGACCCAACCTCGTCCCCAGGGCCTTTTGAGGAAAGATGCGAAGGGCAGCTAAGGCCCTGGTAAAGGCTGGTGAAATAATCCACAAATTGTGGATTATTTTGTCACGTGATATATCGGAGCAAATACTATACAGGGGGGTGCGATCGCGGTCGCTTTAGCTACAATATATTCGTCAATATAATGCATAAACACCGAAATCGACAAATAAAGAACAAAAATCTATTTTAAAATGAAAAAATCTGTTAAAGTTCTTCCAAAAATATTGAATAAATTTGAAATTGTCTTCAAATTAGCTCTGAGAACCTTGGTTGAACTGTAAAGGAGATCTATTAAATAGACAAAGCAACAGTGCAAAACGAATGGATCGATAGAAATATTTACTATGAATTTAATACTGTCGCAAGGAAATTGCTGCCTCGATTGTGAAACAGATATGTAAAATCACTTTAATTTAATAATATGGACTCTCACCATATCCATGATCATCAAAACATTTAATAGTTATTGTTGCGACAATAGATCTTTCTTGCAAATGTCAATATCATACAGTATATTTAACAGTTAAAGGGAGTACAAGACCCAAAGAATGTCTGAAAAACAAGGAATGTCAACATCGTATGCACTTGGAATTTAAATGCTTATGTTAGCCATATGCCCTGAGTATAACCTGGTTGACCTCCATGGTTAATTAACATTTCCTGAATTTAATTGAGTTGAAATATTTTATTTGATTTTCATTCTTATCCCAAGAACATTGTGAACACACATATAATGCTTTGGGTTTAGATTTCAAAGGTCAAGCTTCAAAACAAATGTTGTGATCTTAATGATCAGGCATTCCCAAACAATTACATGCATGAGGGTCAAATCAGACAGAAAGCCTCCATATGCGGCTTTATCAAGGCTGAATAATATAATGAGATGGAATTAATTTCCTCATTATACTGTTAACAAGCTCTTGTTTTTGTTTGTAATCAATTACACAAATTACTTCCCAGAACATTATTTAAGGAGATTATTTGACAAGTCAGCAGGTACATTTCCTGAGCCACAATTGGGGCAATTCAGTGTCACTCATCACAACAGGCGCTCAAAATCACTCACAACATCCAACAGGCAGTTCAGCATCACTGACCACAATTGACTGTTCAATAATGTGTACCTCAGTAGGCAAATCAATAATCAATATTTTGCTCAGATCAACAACAAATATCAAAATTCATGAACTCATTCTCAAAACATGATACAATAACAAGGGATCTCTTCTGGACAAATACAAGACACCTGATGTCAAATGTAGCAAGTGACAAGATTATTCATCTCTTTTAATATAAATACATTTTGCCGCCTTGTAATAAAGTACTATTTGTTGTTGGTGACAGTGGCGTGCTGGCAGGGGGGGGGGGGGGGCGGGGGGCCACGGCCCCCCCAGCTGGCAATTCTTGGGGGGCGCAAAAATTAAAAGGGGGCGCCGAATTTTGAAAGTGGGTGGGAAAAAACGCATTCGAAAAAATATAGTTACTTCCGCCGAGAAAAGATGTGTTTATAGGCATATAAACAGACTAAGCGCATAGGCGACAAAGTGATATATTAAATTATACAGACTATTTTGTCTAACCGTATTTGCTAATTTGCTACCTCACGACTCACACAAAATCGTTCATATAGAAACATGATCAGTGATTACACGCAATGTCTCATTACCGGAATATTGGCCAGGTTTCGAAGCGATCACGGGAATTATGCCCTTTTTTGCTGGTATTATGCCCTTATATTATACCCTTTATTATGCTTCACGAAACACGAGAGCGGCGCAAATTAGATAGTTGAAGTTATGATAATGTAAAGTTGTGTACGCAATTTAGTTGTTTGCGCAAGAAACATCATGAGTAATGTAAGGCCCCGTTTACACTATACCGGATTCGCTCGTCACGTCATCCTCTTCTGCCGTTAAGGAGCAATGGTTAGTAGCAAATGCTTATTAGTTTGACAGAATTGGCATGTTTATTTGGGTCTCTGAGATTATAAATCTTCCGACAGCCTTTCAATACCTACAAAACTTGACCTACTCCCATAGCAATCCGGTATATGGGGCCTATAAGTAATGAAATAATGCTGAAACGCGCCCTTTTGGCAGGCAGGCAAGGAAACCTTAAAATGCATATGCGTGGGGTCCTTGTGTTATTGTATAAAAGAGCTGTAAGTTGTAAATGTATTCAGATCACTAGATCAGTAGAGAATAGAATTAGTTAATCGCTTGAAGTACTACTACTAAATTCTAACCAAATTTCGACATGTTATAATGCCGTTTCCTGACCATCAGATTTCTGTCAGATCTTCCCCCAAAGTCAAGGAAATGGCATTTCAGAGACTCTAAATTCAAAAATTTTCCTGGGGGGGCATGCCCCGGAACCCCCTAGACAAACCTCGCACCTGCGGCGCTCGGATCGTGCCTTCTGCCCTCGTGTATCAAGCGTAACATTATAGGGGCGCATATTGGTTGACAGCCCACTGGCCCCCCCAGAAAAATAGTACCCAGCACGCCACTGCTCGTATGTTACTCGTATGTACTTGTGTGTTACTCGTATGTTACTCGTATGTACTCGTGTGGTGTTTTAGTCACGATCATTTCAAATTAGGGCCTGAATGTGCCTGAACTTCAGGTTACATGCACGTGTGCGGTTTGATTCTGACATTCGTACTCGTACAATCGAGTGATCGGCTGCAATTTTTTTTTATCAAAAATTTGGATATTAGAATTTCTGATACTACCAAAGTGGACGTTTTGAGAAAGTGTTACGAGGTTACGTGTTCTCTTCGGGAATATGTTGAACTTCATCTGCAAGAATTCAGCGCTAGTGAAGCTTTGGAAAGCTTTATGAATTCAAGCATGGTGACTTGTAATGCCGACACGAACATGCGCCTCGATGGAGCTTTCACGACCAACAAAGCAAGCACGATGGACGAGCTACTGGAGTTCGTTATAACTCGAGCCGCCGCCAAAGGCGAAATGCGAGACAACGTGTTGTCTTTGGGATATAGACGAAGCCAAATTCGACCGGCAGTGATGGGATCGCAAACAAGTGGCTATGAAAACAACATGGTCGCTCATGTTCAGTCGCCTGTCTTTGAGGAGCTACATGGAATGATCGGGAGCGATTTAATGGTCCATTTATTAAAGGACCTTAGCTTGTTTGTGAAGACAGGCTCGTGTTATTTACAAGTAGCGGGATGTCCCGTAAATGAAGTTGGTTTGAAGCAGGATACGGCGACGAAAGCGGATGGCCAAAACGGTTAGTTCAAATGTTCAATAATTCAATTAGATTTTATGAAGCTCGCGGCAAACGTCTCAATTTACAATTCTGGGGCGGATTGTTCACAAGTCGACTAGCTTTTAATAACCCCAGGTTAACCAAAGCAAACTACTTTATTATAAATTTGTTTGATTTAATTATTATAATTCGCAACTTGTTTACACTGTCTTTATAAATTTGGAAATATTTCTTCAGAAATCTTGTCTACCTCAGCAGGAGTTGTACCCTCTGAAGTTTTGAAATAAGCAGACGTGCAGAAATACAAACTACTAAAACTTTACAAAATTTTGTTTTCTTTGCTAGTAAATTCTGGCTTTGAACAACCGGTCCTTGAACAACCGGCCCTTGAATAACCGGCCCTTGAATAACCGACCCTTTGTTCCTCTGGGGCCAGTTGTTCAAAAGACGGCTAGCCTAACTCTGGGTAAACACAAAATTTTCCAACAGCTCATCAATCAAGTTGAATATGTTTTTCCAGAAATCTTCCCTGGTTCAACAGAGTAGGGGTGCACCGGAACCAGTTTTTTAAGTTCCGGCCGGAACCGGATCCGACCGGAACTGGAACTAATTTATTAGGCCATATATAGTCATATGTTACTTTGTCCGCTGCCAGACAGGCAGACACTTCAAGTCATAAAGGAGAGAGCTCGCAAATGTTAGAATAAAAAGATTGACAAGCGTTAAACGTCATAATGAAGTGTTAGTAGTGTACATTTCCCTTGCGTATAGTCCAAATTTCTTCCTACTGTGACCTTTTGTTAGACACAAAAACGTTTGATATTCTATCTCTCTGAAAACAACAGAGTTCCAGTTCCGGCCATGCTTTTTTTACTAGTTCCGGCTGGAACCGGAACTCTAAAAAATCGGGGTTCCGGCCGGAACTAACCGGCCGGAACCGAGTTCCGGTGCACCCCTATAACAGAGGTTTTATTTTCTAAAGTTTTGAAACGAATGATGATGCAGAAGTACATAAACAAACACAGCAGGTTAAAATTTAACCTAGGGTTAGTGCTATCAGACTTTGAACAACCGGCACCTGGGGCTGGGTTAAAACTAAAACAGCAGGTTAAATTTTGATTGAGGGTTAGAGCTAATCCAGCCTTGAATAATTGGCCCTGGCGATTTAGTTTCCTGTGGAACGACCACTGAACCTCCTTTAACTAATTGCACCTTGATGCGTCACACTTTATTAATTACTCTGTCTATTATAAATGCCTGACTATTTTACTCTGTCTAGTGCCAGACCATTTTACTTGTCAAGGAGATAGCACTGGCACTTAATAGGTTAATATATTTCACAGTCTATAGTTCTAATGCACCAGTGATTTGTTTATCGTTAGGGGCTGTGTATATTGAAACGAGCCCAGTAAACTGGTTTATATGGAGAAAAAATTATCCTCCTTGGGGCTAATTTTGCTGCGTTGACAGTTAAAAAAAATAGCTTGCAACTGACTGACAGCATCTTTAATCTTGGCAAGTGAGTGTTTCATCCTTGCAACCAAGATGTCAAACCCAGCTTGTCTGTATAAACACAAAGTAATTTCTGTCACAAAAATAACTACACAAGAAGATCTTGCTCACCACTGTTACAAATAGTGGCTGGTGGCCTAACAGTTTTTATTATTAGCATGACAAAATTTCTGGATGCTGATTGGTTTAGAGGAGTACAATTATTTCATTAATTGTACTGCAGTACAATTAATGATTTTCCCAAAACAAACAAAATGGCAGAAAGGTATTTTGAACACAAATGTGAAATGAAATTGCCCTTGAGGAACTAGATGAAAATACGAACAAACGCGCCAAATTTTGCTTGAACAAAAGAACTAAATGGAAATACGAACAACATTGAAAGTCTGGCAGGACTGGACTTTGGCAAGAGAATATGAATATAATCATGCGATGTCGCTCGTCCAATTAGGGATTAATTTAATAGTACTCGTGATGTTTGGAAATTTGCCAAATTGGACTTGCCCCGGCGGCTCGTCCAATTTTGGCGAAATTTCCAAACATCACGAGTACTATTAAATTAATCCCTAATTATACTCGGCATCGCATGATTACCTATACTTATTTAGGAGGGCTAATTTTCATAAAGTGTTCAATGTTCAAAATGTTTTACGGATATGTTGGTGACTGACCCACTCTCCTTGACAAGTACAATAACCAGTATGGCGTATTATTGTACAGGGTATGAAATTAAAAGTTTAGTATCCCCACTGTGAGTCCAGTATCTCCTTGTATTCAAGAGCTATCAGGTAATCAAAGGTGTTCAACTTTTTCTTAAGTACCATAATGTTTTAAATTTTCTTAGTATCAGTTTTGGTATCCTGCAGATATCGGGATACCTGTACTGCAAATTTTAGACCCTGTTTTGTGAACACAAAGCAATTCCTATTGTATAATAAGTGCATGACATGATCTTGCTTACCTCAGGGCTATCCTGTTAACTTAACAGCTCAGCTTCCATATTTACAGAGCAAAGACTTGTTATTCTCTAGGCTTTCATATACTAACCAAATGAGTGGCAGCACTCCCCTTGCGAGTGAAATAGTTTGACATTAAACAGAGTGAAATAACAAAGTAGGGTGCATCTGGGCGCATTGCCACTTAAGGAGGCTCCCTACAGTTTCCAATGTATGTCAGTGTTTTACACTAAAACCTATTTAATTAATTTGAATCTAAAAAACCTAATTTTTTGCACAAGCCATTGTTTCCTCTTATATAAAAGAGTAATTTTAACCCACAATCGCTACTCTTCACATTACCATGACAACATGACGTCACCATCTATATGGCCTATATCGACCAAAAAAACCGCCTTAGCGGACAAATAAGCATGGTGACCTACCTTTTTTATTGCAGAAAATACATTTTCAAATAACTTTCAAACAGGATTCAAAACTTCATAACAATGTATTTTCTGCAGTAAAAAATTAAGGGAGGTCATCGTGCTTATTTGTCCGCTAAGACGGCTTTTTTGGTTGAAAAAGGCCATATAGATGGTGACGTCATGTTGACATGGTAATGTGAAGAGTAGCGATTGTGGATTAAAATTACTGTTTTACATAAGAGGAAACAATGGCTTGTGCCAAAAAATAGTTTTTTGGATTCAAATTAATCAAATAGATTTTAGTTTAAAACACTGACATATATTGGAAACTGTAGGGAGCCTCCTTAACAAGCTAAATGAATTAACAAGGTACATGGGCAGATTGTCTGATTAACCCATTGAGTGGCAGCACTGTCCCCTGACAAGTAAAATGGTTTGGCATTAGACAGAGTAAAATAACAAAGTAGGGTGCATCTGTACACTGGTTGCATCATACAC